TTCAGCAAGGTTTCCATATAGTTTCAGTTTTGCGGAAACTGGACTTTTCACCCAGTGCATAATCTCTGCTTTAAAGCACAAAACAAAGTCATGAGTTGGAAAGTTGTTGTATGATACTCAGATGACCTAAAAAGCCCCCGAACCTCTTTTTTTTATTGTTTTAATTTCTTCAACAAGATATGTCATTTTTTTGTAGATAATAAAAATGTTGACAACAAAATAAGATTCGGCAGAAAGTAACCATTAGCGATGGCATCCAGTGTTCTGTCAGGTGATCAGCTAAACTTCACTCGTATAGTAATAGCATGTGTGGACGAGATAAAGGTAGTGTTGGCTGACATACTTTCGTGTGAAATTAAACCCGGGGATTTGCCGAAAGCCATTCGATCCTGCTCAAATTTGATAACCGGAATGTTCAAACTGAGAACAGAGCAAATGAATATTTGTTGTCCGTCTCCTTCAGGTGCACCAGACTATTACAAATTTGATGTTACTTTATTGTATGCACTCATAAGAAACTTATGCCCACAACTGAAACCAACTCAAGGCTGGGGTAAAGCTCCTTCCATAAAAGATATGCAGATCGGGGATGACATTGAGCGCCTTAGAGAAATTAGGAATACCATGCATGCACATGTTAACTCCTCAAAAGTAGATGATGCAACATTTTCTTCACATTGGCAAAGTCTCGAAAACATCTTTTGTAGAATACAAACGTCTCCTACGTTAAAGCACCTTTCAGTTGATTATGGGTCAAGACTGACAAAGCTAAAAAATGGTTCTTTTTTTTCGGAGGATATGGAAAAATACAAAATTTTATTGGAAGCAATGTTGCATATCTACAGGGATAACACCAATATAGGTAAGTTTGATACAAATCATATATAATTATGAATATAATCCTACTTATTCCAGTATCTTCCTAATAGCTACTTGATTTATTCTTAAGATTTGCCTCGCATCACAATCCGTGGAAATGCTAATGTTGTTTGTGGCAACAATACCTCCTTTGAAGCCGAATTGGACATGTGCTCATCATCAAATAACTGGCCAGTCACGTGGGAAAAAATCATAGGCAATAAAACAGAACAAATCAACATTAATGGAGATAAGTATAAAGGGAGTTCCACCATGCGTTTGATAATACCTCGTGTGTTGAAGGAAGACCAGGGTGAATACAGAGCTTTTGTAGACCGGGAGAATAATGGAACACACATAAAAATACCAAGCAATTCCATACTTTTGACAGTTTTAGGAGGTTTGTTTTTTTTTTCAATGATCAAATTAATCTTTAAGTTCCTAATTAGGGCCCGGCAAGGATTTGCCGGTGCACTAAAGTAATCACTTTGTCTGTCTATCTAGCTGTCCGTCTAGTTGTCTGTCCGTCTGTCATTCCTCCGTTCACAATTTTTCTGTTTTTTTAAATAACTTTTTTATTGGTTGACCAATTAAGTTAAAATTAGGTGTGTTTGTTTGATAGGCCGTAAGACAAACTGTTACATTTCACGAAGTATACCTGTGAAATTTGGGTTAACTCTTGTTTACAAGTTCGGAATAAATTGCTCTCGAACCCAAGGTTTATAAATTACTTAAATACTTTTCAATGAACAGTTAACAAAAGAAATAAACAATACTGTGAGTAATTGATTTCTTTGGACGTTATTTATTTAACTTGTGTAATTTAATGGCAATGTGATATATTTTGGATGTTTTATATGAATACAACGTTATTAAATTTGATGGTAAAACCCTGCTAACATTTATTGTATTGATTGTGACGTAATATAAGTATCTTTGTACATATTTACGAAAGTTCTTAGACGTAGACGTAAATTCAGACGTCGCGTGGATTTACATCAAAAACCGTATTTACAAAAAAATCGTAGACGTTAAATAACACAAGTACGTCACAATTAAACGTAAATCTACATCTACTGTGTCCCTACACGTATCTTTATTTACGATCGAGAGAATGAGAGCACTATTACTAGCAATAGTGAGAAATCGTAGTTTACAACGACAGCGGGTGTTCTGGGACCAAACAAATCCCTTATTAAAGCGACTTCGAACTGATACAAAGGTATCGTATTCCTCAAGCTACCATCGTTGAGTTTTGTACACATGGTTCAACAGTCCTAGTCCAGTTTCCCCCCTCTTCCGTTTTGGCAGACGACAGGAATAAATATTGGGGCAATGTAAAGTGAAACTACCGAAAGCGCATGCGTATGTACAATTGTACATTTAAGAATTCGTAACTTACGTCAACGTCTACGAGCGGCTTTCTAAATACCAAAATACGAATTCGTGTCTTCAATATTACGTCAGTCGTACCATCTACGTTTACGTCTATGTCTAATAACTTTCGTAAATATGCGAACTGATTGTCTCATGTTATCATAACAACTTTTGTCCATATAAACCAGCTGTTTTGGGTTCTAACTTCAGTCGGCTATAGGGAGCGACTGGGAACACACAGCCTATCCTGGTAAGGGTAAAGTGACTCTGTATACTTCGGTTATAAGACAGTGGTATGTGTATCGTACCAAGTCTATATATATACAAAGCCATTAAGGGAACAAAGTTAGTAGGAACGTTCTGGATTGACCATCAGTTGGTCACCTTTTTGTTAACCAAAAAAACGTTGTACCAACCAAGATACAGTGTACTATTTTGTGTGTTTACAAGTGAACCATTTTATAGTCACAATAAATGTTGTAAACTTGAAACAAGAAAACCAAAGTGACCAAAAATTGGTAATTAGCCATTACATAAACTGTGACCAACGGAACCATCAAATCACGACCAAGTGACCAGAAAATCAATAGCGGCCCACGAGTTTATTATTACTTGATACCTTCGGTTTCCTTACACTATTTTGATGCTATGTTAGTTTCTCTATGTCCTCCTGTTTGGAGCTGGGGTGGTGGGAAGATTCTTAGACTTACTAGAAGAATAAATTCGCAAAGACAGATAACTGCTGAAAATCTTACCATTGTAAACTGTTAAAGCTTCAATGAGTCCCTTATGATTAATAAACTTTCCTCTTGAAGAAATCCCAAATCATTATCTTTATCTGTCACATGGAGATAAATTATCACCTCTGTCTGCAAATGTAGATTGTTTTGAAATCACTTTGGAATGTGTTATGGGTCAGAATAACCCTAAAAGCCAGCAAAGATCAATCACACAGTTTAAACTTAACAATAATTTATTTACAGTAATACAAAAATAATTAAGTACAAACTTAGCAAAAATCTAGAAATACATACATCAGAGTGTCCGTTGCTGCACACAATGTCCCAGTGAAATTATATTCCAGTAATACCTCAATGATGCTTATACGACAGGAATATCTATGCATCGAATTGACAGGATATTTATACAGTTATATAAATCTAGAATATTCTAGAAGTTGTAAGTACATGATATTACTGGAAAGTTCTGGACATAAACAAAGTTCAAAAATGTTCTAGAAAAAATGACCGAACATGTTGACCACTCTGGAATGTTCAAGAAACTTAATGTTACTAATAATATACATAATGAAATAATACAAATACAACACACCTCACAACACCTCCCCCCTTAAAAAGTTTGAATGTCAATGAGATTAAAACATAGGTACATTAATACAAAATCTAGTATGTTTACGATACTCTTGACAAGGCATCTGCTATAACATTGTCTTTGCCTTTGATATGTTTAATTGTTATGTTGTATTCTTGTAACAACAAACTCCATCTAGTCAGTCTTTGATTCTTGTTTGACGAAAATGTCAGGGGTTTGTGATCAGTATATACAAGAATTGGATGCAAAGTAACATTCAAATAAACATCAAAATGCTGTAAAGCTAACAACAAAGCAAGGCATTCCTTTTCAATGGTGGAATAATTTTGTTGACATTTTGTAAGTTTCTTTGAAAAATAAGAAACAACTCTATCTACATTATCACTATGTTCTTGAAACAAAGCTGCCCCGATTCCAACATTACTAGCATCAACAATAAGCTTGAACTGCTTAAAAAAATCTGGAGTTGATAGAACTGGATTGCTCATTAGGACATATTTAATTTTATGAAATGATTTTTCATAGTCCTTTGTCCATTCAAAGTTAACCCTCTTTTGTAAAATGTTTGTAAGTAGACTAACTACTGAGGAAAAATTTGGACAAAATTATCTATAAAACCCAGCCATGCCCAAAAACCTCATTAACTCTTTCTTGTTTGTAGGAATCGGGAACTTTGCAATAGCTTCCACTTTAGCCATAATTGGTGTAACTTAACCTTGACCTACTTTATGACCTAAATACTCTACATAAGCATGACAAAATTCGCTCTTCTCAAGGTTCACAGTTAAGTTTGATTTAGCAAAATGTCAAATAGAGCACGCATGATTCGGAGATGTTCGTCCCATGTGTCGCTGTATATGACGACATCATCAATGTAGGCCTCGCATCCCTCGAGGTCTTGAAGGAGGGAGTGAATCATTCTTTGGAATGTAGCCGGTGCGTTTTTCATGCCAAAAGGCATTACTTTATACTGGTAAAGTCCATCTGGTGTAGCAAAAGCAGATATTTCTTTTGCTCTTTCTGTTAACGGCACTTGCCAGTAGCCTTTCAACAGGTCAAATTTACTGACAAATTTGGAGTTTCCAATGCTGTCACTACAGTCATCAATTCTAGGTATTGGATATGAATCAGTTTTGGTAACATAATTCACCTTTCTAAAGTCTGTACATAATCGGTAGGAACCGTCCTGTTTTGGTACGAGAATACACGGTGAGCTCCAATTACTTTTACTAGGTTCAACAATGTAATTGTCCAACATATACTGCACTTCCCTTCTTAGGTACTGCAATTTTATTGGATTGAGACGGTACGGATGTTGTTTGATAGGCAGAGCGTCGCCAACTATAACATCATGACAAGCTGCATTAGTTTTCTTTGGAACATCCGAGAAGATTTGATGGTACTCATTCATCAAGTTTTTAACTTGTTCTTTTTGGTGAATGTTCAAATGTCCAAGTTTGGCATCAAAATCCGCGAAAACTTTTGAGTTTTTCAAGCAGACACTCTGATTACAATCTTTCTCATTCATTTCTACAATTGTATCACTTTCAATACAATTTTGAACAGTCTTAGCATTGGCTAAAGTGGAAACTGGTTTTACAGAATTTCGGTCACACCTTTCAAAATACTCTTTTAACATGTTAATGTGACAAACCCGTTTGTCTTTACGTCGACCTGGTGTCTTAACTACATAGTTTACATCACTGATCTTGCTTTCAATTTCATAAGGGCCATAAAATTTGGCCTGTAAAGGATGACCAGGAATAGGTAAAAATACAAGAACCTTATCACCTGGCTTAAACTCCCTATTTCTGGCATCTTTGTCATACCACATTTTCATTTTCATCTGAGAACTCTTCAAATTTTCTTGTGCTAATTTACAAGCATTGTAAAGTTTTTCTTTGAAATCAGATACATAATCAAAAAGATTACGATCACCAGTCTCAGTCAGCCACTTTTCCTTCAACAATTTCAAAGGACCTCTAACTGTATGACCAAACACCAATTCAAAAGGACTGAACCCAAGAGACTCCTGGACTGCTTCTCGTGCAGCAAATAGTACAAGATGAACCCCTTCATCCCAGTCTTTTTCATACTGGTAACAATAGGTCTTCATCATTGTTTTTAGGGTTTGATGAAAACGTTCTAGCGCTCCCTGGGACTCGGGATGATAAGCAGTTGATCTATACTGCCTAATACCCAACTCATGCATGACTTGCTGGAACAACCCCGACATAAAATTTGAGCCTTGGGTTCTCCTACAAAACTGAAGAACTTGGTTAGGGCCTTAACTATGCTCTTTGCCTTTATATTCCTTAGAGGTATGGCTTCAGGAAATCGAGTGGATGTAAACATAATGGTAAGTAAATACTGGTTTCCAGACCTAGTCCTAGGCAAAGGTCCTACACAATCCACCGACACTCGACTAAACGGTTCTTCAAAAGCTGGAATGGAGAGGAGCAGATGGTATCTTCTGATTTGGTTTACCCACCATCTGACAGACATAGCATGACTTGCAAAACTTCGAAACATCCTTTCTTAGCTTAGGCCAATAAAAATGACTCAAAATCCTATTATAAGTCTTATTGATACCTAAATGACCAGCCATAGGTGTATCGTGAGCTAAACTCATGACATCTCGACGATAAGCAGATGGGACCACTATCTGGTGAACAACACGCCACACTTCAT